TGAGAAAGAATAAAAGGAAAAAAGAGTGAGGGGTACAGAGGCTACCTGGGAGGGAAGTATTAATAAAACTCAGGATCAAGATCCATATGGTAGAATGTGTCTGATCCATTGGCCTGGAGGTACCTGGAGAACATGTGTGGTTCTTTGTCTAGGTGTAATCAGGGCTTACTCAACCAGAGTTATTTGTCTTGAGCCAAGAAGAAAACCACACCTGTCATGCAAATAAGCAGTATAGTTCCTTAGAACCCTGTCCTTTCCACTAGGACTCACCTGGCATTGCTGACTCCACTTGGCATCTTCCTCAGATGAAGCCATTGGCTGTAGGATCCTTCCTGTTGCTCAGTGTGAAAAAAACAAAGGACAGCAAAAATAAAGGTACCAGCCCAGTGCTGTGCACTGCTACACGGGTGTGTGGTGAGGTGCCTCTCCCCAGCTGGAAATCACCGAGTGTTGTGTGATGTCCAAGTCCTTGGAGGCATCAGTGCCCCTTTGATTCATTTCAGAGGCTTTCTCTCACTGCATAAATTGCATTCTCATGTCTTTGAAGTGACCTGTTTGAATTAAACATCACAGAGTGCTTTTTATAAAGCTGTGCCAACAACATAGTGCAACTGGCATATCAAAAATGAGATAAAGTGCTCTGGATATCACCAGAGTCAGGGTGATATTTAGTTTCTTTTGCAGCTTGTACTGTCATTGCTGTGTATTCGCTTACAGCAAGCTGCCTTCTGCAGTCCTGGTAATAGTTTATGCATAACATGTAAAATCTGAAAAAGGAGGAAGAGTCAGCAATGCCCATTGATGCACGCTGGAATGTGTGATTGCTGGGCTGACCTGCTCATCCCTGCACACCGAGTCCTCTCCTGGGTTTGTTGTGGGGCACCACCAACACCACGAGAGGGAGCGTGGAAGCAGAGAGTGGCTTGTGCTGGATGGTCCAGCTGGGAGCAGCGCGGTGCTCCGGCCCTGGGAGTCAAACACGGCGCGGCACAGGCTGAAAACAACAGAAATAGGAATACATTTATGTTTCAAGGCTTCGGGACTTCAAAGAATGTTTTGCACCTAGGGTTAATTTGTCTCAGGTGTCTGGAATTGTAGTTGTGCTTGGAGTCTTTAGTGCATTATCGAGGTTATTTGGGATTTCCTGCTCTGTTGTTGCAGGTAGGTAAAAAGAGCACTGAAAAAAAATTTCTTTTATTCCATGATTCCTTGAGCATGAGATTATGCACTACTTTTCCCTTGGGACAAATGAGGAAAATGCTGCTGCAAAATGTCACCTTCTGATATCAAAATACTGCTCAGAGAAGTCTTACCCTGCAGTTGAAAGGTAATGGGTGAACCCCACCAAAACACCAAATAAAAAATGCAATTATTTCCATTTTCCCAGAAACTACTTTGTGAGTAATGAGTTTTGGTACACTGATACCAGATTATTTAGCTGATGGTTGGCGAGCAGAATTTAATGAAAATGTTATATAATGTCATTGTTTATTATATTTAACAAATAGAACAGTTTTGGGGCAGAAGTCTTTAGAAGGGCAGGACATGGCGAGTCAGCTTTAAGTGTTGAGATATGTTCAAGATATAATGTGGAGTAAATATAAAACAATGATCATTTTTAAAGGAAGGACCACGTTCCTGGACTATCCCCAACAGGCATGTCTAATCAACTGTGGTTTTTCCAGCCTGCTCCAGTATTCTGCCTCACAATTAAAGGGTCTTTCCTAGGACCTAACTTAAATCTTCCCTGCAATTTCCAGCAAACTCCTCATCTTCTCTTTAGCTTGGGAACACAGCTGATCCATTCTTCTGGAGTGGCTCTGCATCAATCAGGTGATTGTTGTTACTTTCTTCTCTTTTTAAGCTAAAAAAAGTAATTTTTTTTCAGGCTTTGTTTGTTGTTTTTTTCCCTATGGGGTATATTGTACAAAAAGCTTAAAGCAGCTGTGTATAAGCTGGGACCCCAGCTGAGAGCGAAGCCATTCCTCCTGGAGTGTGGCAGGTACCCTGTTCTGGAAAGAAATGTCCCTGTTTGCAGTGCTGGTGCCATGCCTTGGGTTCATTAACCAGCTGGGATGTCCTGTTGTGAGCCTGGAGCTGTTCAGAAGGACTTTGGCTGTGCCAGAGCCTGCTCTCAGTGATGCAGCCAAGAGCTGGATTGCTCCCTGGCCCTGCAGCTGGGGGAGTTATGGCTGGGTGAGGAGGGAACGTGGATGTTCTCCTTGCGGCTCCAGCTGAGGAAGAGGAGGTGAAATGTGAGTGTATGAAAGGTCACAGCTGACCAGAGTCCACCTGGGTGAGTCCTGTCTGGCACTTCCAGTGTGCACTTCTGTCTGCTCAGCAACCAGCTGGGTGTGGGTTCTTGCCTCTTGGACTGTGGTGTTTAAAATCTGCCACATCTCTATTCAATGACTTTATTTATTCATCTTCATTTCCTTTCCTCTCAACCAAATTTGAAGATAAACATGACAAAGCCCAAGGGACAGCAATGCACAGAGCTGCAGTGATGCAGGGGCAGCATGTTATGTCACTTCTCTGCCAGAGTTTGTTCTCTCACAGCCTGCTCCTCTCTCAGTGGGCAGTGGGGAGGTTTGGGGCATTTCCTTGCCCATCCCCATCCCCAGCCAGGACAGCAGCTCTGAACTGGCTCGCTCACTGCCCAGTGACAATGGCTCACCATTCCAGGAGGCTCTGCAGGGTGCAGCTGCAGTGCTCAGCTCTCTGCCCTGTCCTGTGGGCTGTCCTCACTCCAACACCAACAGGGAACAAAGGAGAAACCCCCAAACATTGGTGTGAGGGGGGCAGCGGGGTTTGGGAGGAAGGCAAGTTCTTATTTCTTGCTCTGCTCTGTCCATTCCAGCAAGCTGCAGGGTGTTTGAGAGGCTGAAAAAGACCCTGAGCCAGTGCATCCAGCCTAATATGGGATCAGAGGCTCTTGGTGGAAGAAAGTCCTTCCTGGGAGAGCTGGTGCAGGATGGTGCAAGGATGGTGGTAGCAAGGTCCACAGTATTTAAAATCAAGGGCTGAGCTGGCTGAATAAGGAGCCCTGGAGCAGAACTCACTCCACCATGCTGCTGCTCTGGCCCCACTGTGCTCTGGTGCTGCTGCTTGAGGTCCCCTCCCCACCTGCTTCTATGGCTGTGCTTGCCCTTAATGGGTTGTGTGTTTTCCTGCACCATTTTCACATTATCCCCTGCCCCTGCAGATAAGGAGAACATACATACCAGGCTGGACTTTGGCATTGGCTCAGGCCAGGAGCTGGAATTACTCCTTGTGCTCCCCTGGTGTGCTGCTCCAGCTGGCCCCCAAGTCACCTCCAGAAGAAGGAGATAGGTGGAGGTAGAACAGATTCCTCATCTGCTTAGACAGCAACAATCTCCATGCCCCAAGCAAGCCTTGCTTGTCCCACATCTCTTCTTGCTGTCCTTTTATCCTATGCCAAAAAGTTCCTGTTTACATGGTTTGATCCTGTTTGCTGCTGCTGGCTCCATGCTGTCTCCATGGATAGATTTATAGGGTGGTCAGAGGTCCTGTCTGACCCAAAACAGCCTTATTCCTTCATAGCAAGGTGGTGAAATAAACCCTTTTCTTCCACCCACAGCCCGACTGGCCGATGCCCAGCTTCTAACAGCATCTGTGGAGTCCAGGGCAGTGCCCTTGGCGTGCCAGGAAAGCCCCTAGCAGGGAGACTTGGCTTCTTCTGGACTTTGGGGGCTCTTCTATGGTACCCCATACATCCCTCCTGCCAGTCCAGCGTCCCTGCTGTGCTCCCAGTGCAGAGCTGTGCCTGTGATGTGAGAGCCACTCACAGGAGAGCTGCTTCTCTCCTTGGTGCCTGTCAATATTTGACAGCACAAACATTTTAAACTGCAGAGGAAAAGTGCACTCAGCCCCCCTGGGATGGTTTGTATGTGCTGCTGCCCTTCTCCTGTGACACAAAGAGCTCAGACCCCAGGGCCATGAGCAGTGCTGGAAATTTGGTCCTTGACATGGTGCTGGCACACGTGGCACAGCTGTCCCCTCCTGGAGGTGGAGCATGATGGGCTCAGCTGCTTTGTGGAGCAGCTTCTTGGGGAAAAGCAGGTGGGCTTTGACTTTTAATCTCCTTTTTTTCCTGGTTAGCAGAAGACTTAAACTTTTTCTGTGGATAAACAGCTCTATGGTCTTTCTCTCTGCACCAGAGATGACAAGGTATTATGTTGCCCTGATGGCCTCTGTCCCAAATATCCCAATATTTTGGGAAGTGTAAGAGAGGCCATGGCAAATGGTCTGGAGTGACTTACAGTGGAAGTTTCAGTAGAAGCAGGCATGGGGGTACCAAGCTGCAAATCTCTGCAGCACTAAATGTGGCTTTTTTGGTTTGCTGAGCCATGTTTCTATCACTCTGGGTCCCACAGCACTGTGTGTGGTTGTGACTTTTTCCAGCAGCAACAACAATGATCTCCTGTGCCAGTCCAGTGCCTGCCTCTGTCACTGCTTCAGTGCATTTATTTCTGGAAGTGGGGGCTCCTGCCCAAAGGCTGCTTTCACCCAAAAGCTCAGTGAGGCGGTTTCTGATGGGTGAGAGGAACCAGAGGGGTCAGACAGCTCCTCCTGCCCCTACCTGGGGCAGAGAAGCAGCACAAGTGTCCCCACCACACCAAGCAAGGCTGCACACAGCAGCTGTGAGGGGCTCTGAGGGTGGGTGGCTGGCTCTGGCACTCTGATGAGTGGGAATATGGATTTTCAGATTTGAAATGGAAGACAGTTTGTCTCAAGGGCTTGTGAGACCTCTCTAAGCTGTTCAGCCAGGGTATGAGCTGGGAATTATGAGCAGGTTCTCCTCTGCCTGTCCAAGAAGGACTCACAGCTAGTTTTGAGTCCAGTTGGAAACATTTTCCAGTCTCTGGTGAAGTACATCCACACATCACTCAGTGGACAGGACATGATCTGCTCACCCCATGGAGCCAGCACATTAACCAGAGCAGAGCAAGGGTGGCACTCACTGCTGGGTGACTTTGGCAGGAGAGATGCTCAGCTCTTCTCCCCCGACCCCGTGGTACCAAGCGTGGGCTTGCTTTGCCCTCGCATTGCTCACCACCAGCTGTAAGAGCTGAGTGTTTATCTCAGCCCCATTACTGCCAATCTCCCCCCATTAACACACCCATAATTCACAGCCAGAAAATATCTTTTATTGGAGTGGTGACATTTAAACCAAGGTAGGCATTGGTTTGGTGCTTTTTTTCTAATTAGTTTTTAGGCAGTCATCTCGTTTGCTCCAGCCTCCGCTCCACATCTGTGACTGCAGCTTTCTCCATCCAGCTGAGAGGGAATTATGTGTGCAAGAGGAGTCAGGGCTCCCTTCCCAGCTCCCTGCTCACACTGCTAGGATTGCCGTGCCTGCCGCACACCCAGCCGCGTGCTCGAGGATGCTGCACCTCAAAGTCCAGTTCCTGGATGATTCCCAGAAGATCTTTGTAGTTGATGTAAGTGGCTATCGTATTCTTACTGATTTTTTGGTGATAATTATTAAGTCATTGCTGCTCTGAAGGATTGCATGTTCTCTGATAGATTCTGGTTTTCAGCTTTTAAAAAACGCCCCAGCAAGCAAACAAGAAAACCAAACTCAAATTCAAAATTAAAGATTATAGTATTAATTGGTAAGTGTTTTTTGGTATCAACACACTCCTACGCTTCCCTGTTATTGGCATTATTTATGAAGGAGGAATGGCTTTTACTTACCTGGTGTGATCTTTAGTAAATCAGTTAATATGAAGCGATGGTCTTGACAAGTGCCGAGTTCTCTCTTTTGTCTGGCTGCCAGTGTAAACATTCAGCAAGGAAGTAAAGTCTGGGAACAGAACAAAAATAGCATATTTGTCCAAGTTATCCCTGGTGAGAAACATCTGCACACTTCCTGGGCATTCAGTTGAAAAAGAAAACTGTGTGGTTTTGTGAATAGCTAAGGAAAAAACTCTATCTTATTTTCTGCATGGCAGTGTCCCACAACACATCATGATTAATAATTTACATTTAACAAATACTAGCTCTGAACTAGGTTAAAAATGTTAAGTAGTCATATCTCTGGTGTTAGATTTATGCATATGTGTATAGATAACTGAAAGCAGGTGTGTCTTGACTGTGTGTTAGAAGCATTTTTTATAAGTTTGATTGCACATTTACTGTTGCTTAGGGCTTGATAATCACAGTAGCTAATTGAATTAGCTAATTTAAGTAGATTTATTCTAGTACTTACCTGCATCTCCTGTGGGAGCAGAGTGTTTAATATAAAATGGTTCTTTTTTTTCAAGTTCTGTTGCTTTTCTTATACTGTCCTCTTCTGTGGTTTACAGCCTGAAAACTGCTCTTTCAGATGCACTGCTCTGTTTCTTTATGACAGTATTTTGCACAAAAGAGGATTATGAAGCAATTCCATTCCTTGTCACATTATGGAAATAGTTTAATTTAGTTTAATTAATCTATCCCAGTCCAGAAGTCAGCTTAAAAATGAGACTAGTAATTTTAAAATGCCTTCCCCTCCTCCCCCCATTGATTAGATCAGGTCATAGTGAGACACAATTCAAAAGATGCTTCTGGTACAATGTTGCTGCATTTTTTTTACGTCTCTGTTTTCTTATTTTCTCACAACACAGCACTATAGCTCTGCACGACATGCCATTGCAGCAGATAGCTTCCATTAGAGGAACTCCTCATCATTTCCTTTTTTAGCATGGAATGGTATTGGAAACCCCTTTTAGGCATTTCATGCATTTGCTGATGCTGTGTGGGTATGATAAATGAGTGGCTGAATTAGTGACTTCTCCAGTATAAAAGGAGTGCTTTGGGCTAAGTTTTGAGCAGATATTTTAAGCAACTCTTTCTAAACCCCTCCTGACTTTGGAAAGCTCTTTTGTATGGAAGTAATTCCGTTTAATGGGAGGGAAAAGGATAAAAGTAAGAAAAAACAGAGGGCCTGATTCCCCCTGCAACTCGTGCTCAGTGTAAATATCTCTACCTGCCTCACATGGGTGTCACAGCTGCTGGCACGTGCAGCAAGGTCTCATTTCCAGGCTGCTTTGCATGAGAACAAGTTCTTCTCCATCTGGTGCTGGATGCTGACCCAGGGATGCATCTGCATCCTTGCTGACAGTTGGGACCACTGAGTTCCCAGGATTTCCTTCAGCTGAGCACTGGAGGTGGTTCCTGGGGTAACAGGTCTGAGCCCCCAGGGCAGGGGAAGGATCATCTCTGAATGTCCCCACTGTGTTCTCCCTGCTGAACACCAACCACCCTGCTGCTGGACAAACCAAAAAAGCCCAGAAAAACTATTTTCTGAGGCTGAGTGAAGAACAGAGTGTCCTGTGGTCACTCAGAGTGTCCCTTGTGAAGCTGGAATTCCTTGACAGGAGGTGTGTGGGCTTGGTGGCAGAGGAGCGAGGGCACAGAGAGCCTTAGGGCTCTTGGTGCAGGACACTTTGTGCTGGCTGCAGCTCACCTGATAGGGCAGGCATCTCCCAAGGCGGTGGGAGGAGGTCACATCAAATCCCACGAGCTGTTGCTCACCCCCAAACCATGGACCTGGATGTAGCAGCCTGTCCTATGGGAACGCTGCAGAAATTTGAGAAATTTGCTGTTGGGCTGCAGGTGCTGCCAGAGTCCCTTTGGGGACATGGGCATATGTGCCCCATGTGTTGCACTTGTTGCTGTCTACCTCTGGAAGTGCCTCTGGCTTTCTGATTCTGCTCACAGTCCCAGATGTTTTCACTGAGGAGTGAAGGGCAAGTGCAGCTTCTCCTTTTCACCTTCTGCTCTGGGGTTTCTGCCTGTGGGTGCTCACCTGGCCCTGCATCATTCTCAGAGGCACCTGCAGGCTTGGACATGGGACAAACAGCCCCACGTGTCATGTTTCTGCCTTGCACTGTGCTCCTCCAGCACAGACCCCACTTCTCTCACTTGGTGCAGGGCAGGGCTGATGCTGCTGAGCACTACCCCAGTGCTTGAGGAAGCACTGGCCTCAGCACCCCAAAATCCAGAACAGGAGACCTACAAGCAACACTCTGCAAGAGAAAGGCTCTTCTTCTAAAGCATCCCCTGCAGCAGCAGGGCTGTGTCTCCCAGTGAGCAGGTTTTCCTGGGTTTGGGGCTGCTCCTGTCCTGTGGTGATTGCTCTGGGCACTGCTGGGCTTGGAGCAGAGTGGGTTGCTCCCAGCAGACATATGGTAGGTAATAACCCAGTAAGAAATGCTTGTCTTTCCTGGCTGCCTGACAAAGGCCAAGGCCTTTCATGCTAGAAAATTCTAGCTTGGAAAAAAACATTTATCATTTTTTTTTAATTATCCTTGTGATCCAGTAATTTTGAGGAGAACTGGGAGTGCTGCAGAGCAAATGCTGTTATTATGCTATCACTTTTCTGTAGCCTTTCAGCACAGAGCCAACAATTTCATCCCAGGAGAAGCCCTGAAAGGTGGTTATTAGTGTGCATCACCACCAGCAGCCAGGTCCCTTCCGTCCCTGCTGGGGACAGCCACAGGGAGCTGCAGCCTGCCTTCCCCTCCATCACCCAACATGCCATAATTTAGCAGCTGTCTAACCTGGCCTCTCTGCTCCAGCTTGCTTTTGCAATAACCCATACTTCTTTTTGGTTGTCTGCTTTTCACAAGCTCAGGAAGGTGTACGGGGGTTTTGTTGGGGTGGGTCACTGCCATTTCAATTTCTGGTGCTTTCTGGAGCATTTTCCAGAGTTGGGAGCCTCCTGGTTTGTTCTCCAGCCAGGTCACACAGCATGGCAACAAGTGAAGAAAACACCCTCCAATTGTTTCTGTTTACTGTGAATAACTACAGCCTGGCCTCCCTTATCAGCATGTAGCACCACTTAATTCATATTGCTAAAGCCCATGGGTGACTCAGAGCCCAGGGCAGAGGATCTCTGGTCTGCTGTTAATTACCATTAACCATAATAGTGGCTCATCCCTGGCTGCTGGGGCACACGGACTCACTGCACAGGTTTGAGGTCTGCTCCCGTTGGCTCTTAATTAAGCACGTTTGCCATGGCTGTCCCTGCTTCAGGCAGGTGCTTGTCCTGGGGATCATTCATTGGTTTGCCAGGGACAGAACTGCCCAGACAGTGATAGCTGCAAACAGTGAGTCAAAACACGGTTTATTTTCTCTTGCTCTCCTTTCTGGTTTATGTTTCTTAATAAAGGAGAGAAGTGATGGGAAAGAATCTGATTTCCAAAAGCAGGGAACACAGCATGCAGTTGTCCTGTTGTACCTGCTGAGGCCAGCAGCATTTATTAAGATTTTGCTGCTGCATGGTCAGGAAGGAGGTAAAGGAAGGGAGCTGAAACTTCTCCCCATCTCTCTGAAATCCCATCACAGCTGCTGTCAGCATTGCTTAACCTGCTGCTTCTGTGCTGTGTTTGTTTGCTAGCAAAAATCCTGTGGGAAAGGGCTCTTCAACCTCACCTGCAGCCATCTCAACCTTGTGGAGAAGGAGTATTTTGGGCTGGAGTTTCACAGCCAGGCTGGGAACCAGGTGAGTGGGCCCCTGGAGCTGCCATCACCTGCATGGCTGGGGGATTCTAGCACCTCCCTGAAATTCCAAATGGAAAATTAAATAGAAAGTTTTGCCATGATGGCAGAAAAACCCTGAAAATGAGGGTTAGGAGGGGAGCCACAAGCCCCAGTGATATCTACAGCTCATGGGGTCTACCCACAGCCATCCGTGTGGTGCTGCCCAGCAGGACACTTGTCACAGCAGCCAAGCTGGCCAACATTTTCATGTTGCATTCTATTATGCTGCTGCTTGTATTCCCCATCTCTTGTGCTGTTTATTTACCCAGCTCTTCATTGCCTTATTTCAGGTCTGGTTGGAACCACTAAAACCCATAACAAAGCAAGTCAAAAGTAAGTATTTCAAGAATAGAATTCTTATAAATCAGTGAGAGTCTAGCACAGACGTGTTCATGCAGTGCTGTTGCTTGGGGACAGGATCTCTGGCTTCCAGCACTTAACCAACCTCATTTTAGAGGGTGAAGCTGGGCAGGATTGTTTGCAAGGACACCTCAGTCCATACAAAATTCTGTGGAAATACCTCTGCCTTTGCAATCTGGTATCTGCACCATTTTAGGCTGGAGCTGTTAATAACCTGTCAGCTTGGCAGAGGAGCAGGGGTGGCTGAGTGCTGGCAGTGTGACAGGTGACTGAGTGGTGGCTGTGCTGGCAGTGTGACAGGCACTGCTCCTGTGTGCCCTCCTTTTCCCTCTGCAGCTCAGAGTGGCCCAGGCACCTGCCTGAGGCAGGGTCCCCCCTCAGCCCCCCAGGCCCTGCCACTCCTCCCCAGCCCCAGGAGATGCTGCAGAGCCTGACCTGAATTCAGGCCCAGCCTCCTCTGCCATGACCAGTGTAAACACGCTGCTGCTTTCAGCACAGGCCTCTTTCCATCCCCTCAGTATTTTCCCCAAATACACGATGGCTGGGAGGTGACTGAGAGCTCGGGGCCATGACCCCAGTCTTTGCCATGGAGAGGCTGCAGAACAGTGTTTGCATGAATTTCCCTGAAAGTTGAAAGCCTGATAAGGAGCCTTCCTTTTCTGGGTGCACCACAAATGGAATTGTTGCAGGCACCTATTTTCTTTACCAGGTGTCTTCTGGCCTGTCCCTCTGAGCCATCCCAGGGTGTTCTGTGACAGTCAGTGCTCACATAATTGCCTCCCTCCCTTCACACACCTTTCCTTGGGCTTGGCTGCTTGTTCTCACTCATCCCACAAAAAATCCTTTGCCCAAGCAGCCTCCTATGGAACTGTTGCATCCCAAATGCTTGGAGGGCTGAGTTTAACACACAGCCCCAGTGATGGCAATCACACCAAGGCTCTGGCCATGCTCCCTGGCACCATTTCATGGAAACTCCCCCTCTACAGGGATTTTTGTAATTTAAAGAATTGCTGGGGCATTTTCCTCCTTAGTATTCTTCAGATATTCAAATTTCTATTTGCATCCATTGGTAATAGTGGAGGCCTGGGCAGGCTGGTTTTGGGGGTACAGGCTGTAGTCCCTGATTTGTAAGGGTCCAGATTAATTTACTCTGTAAGGAGGCAGCATGTGTGAAAAGAGTTGTAAATGTTCTCAATAGACATGCCGAAGAAAACTTATGAAGATGTTGTGTTTTAAGATCCTAAGGAGGTTCTTTTCAAATTTATGGTGAAATTTTTCCCAGTGGACCCCGGTCACCTGAGAGAAGAACTGACCAGGTACAGTGTTTGTTTTATTACTTTCTTACCACACAGTTCTGTGTTTTTGCAGTGTGTTAATTTTTTATCTTTATCCACCCCAGCCTGTCTGTGAGCAGTGGTTATCCAAAGTATTAGGCTTTACAGAACAAAACCAGAGAATATCTTTTCTTGATCCTCTGTTTTTAAACACAATCCACTTGAAGGATCAGCCGTCTTATGGGGCTGCAATTTGTTTACTGCCAAACACTTTAGCAGTTGTGCAGAGTCTGACTGCTCAGTTTATCTCCTGCCTCAAGCAGCGCTCTGAAAGAACGACTTTAGTTTTATTTTTAAAAATGACATTGTTAGCTTTTACAATTTTAGAGAAAGCATTGCAAACTGGGACTAAGAATAAAACCAAGACGGTGCTTCTGCAGAATGTCAGCCCCAAGAGAGGCAAATGCCCCTCCAAAACAGAGAGGAATGTTAATTTTGAGATCTACTAATGAGCATTTCAGTGACAGTGCCGGTCATGGTGGTGCCCAGCCTTCTGCAGGGGCCGCCTGCTCATCCAAGACAAGGGAGCAGGCAGGGCCCTCACGGCTCCCCCAGGTGCTCCTGTCCCCCTCCACAGGTACCTCTTCACCCTGCAGATCAAGAAGGACCTGGCCCAGGGGCGGCTGCCCTGCAGTGACAAGAGCGCGGCGCTGCTCGTCTCCCACCTGCTGCAGTGTAAGGGGGGCGGGTGCCTGCAGGGACCCCCCTTCCCTGGGGACGGGCTGGGCTTGGGGGTCCCCCTGCCCTGACCCCTCACAGTCTAATCCCTGCTCTCCCCGTGTCCCCAAAGCCGAGCTGGGCGACTTCCAGGAGGAGACAGACCAGCAGCACCTGGCCACGCACAGGTACCTGCCCAACCAGGAGTACCTGGACAACAAGATCATGCACTACCACCGGAGACACAGGTGAGGAGGAGACACAGGTGAGGGGGGCACAGGTGAGAGGGAGGCACAGGTGAGGGGGGGACACAGGTGAGGGGGGCACAGGTGAGGGGGAGGCACAGGTGAGGAAGAGGCACAGGTGAGGAAGAGGC